GACGTGACCGCGTCGCGTGACGTCACGTTGTGTTACGTCACGATGTTACGTGACACTGTGTCACGTGGCGTGACGTCACATGGCACCGCGACTTAGCGTTGTGACGCCACGTGACGTCAGGTCACATGACGTTGCGATATCACCTGACTATCTGCCCAATCATTGACACCATAACTCGATACCGTCACGTCACGCGGCCTACATTTGCGTATTTATCGCTAAAGCATTCCACACGGGACGTTTCGATTGTAAATCAAAGAAACGTCTTCGTTTTTTTATTTTTTTAAAATATACTTTAGTCCAGTGATTGGGCTTAGCTAGTCAGGCTAGAAAAAATATACAAATGCAGGGTGTTTTTAAAAGCTTTCTAAAGTTATATTTATTTATTTATTGGCTTATTTTATCAAAAACAATTTGTTCCGTCTTTGCAGGTGGGTTATATGGCTAGGGGGACATATTATAATAATAATAATAATAATCCTTTATTTGTATAATGCCCCAGAACAACCTATTGGTTACAGTGTGGTGGCACATAAAACTTATAGTGGGATGATCGTCACAATAGGTAGGTTAATTAACTCACATTGGTCATTACCTTTTTAATTATTTAAGGTAAAGATATTGTTCCAGTCAGAAACTTGCTGAGCGCAATCGAAAACCACTAAATAAGTAAATAAACAAAAAAAATTAAGTGCGTGGAAATCGCGGTTGTGCGTCAAAGTTACCACTAGACTCTACTGTACCAGGCGCAACGCTGGCGGTCCAAATACACGGATAAGAAGAAAAAAATTGTGTAGCACACTGTTGGGTGATTTTGTTTTTACGTGAGACGTTCTGGTATCGCTCCAGAACGTTACCGAGACCAGTGCCAACACTCACGCCGCTCTTCCTCCGATGACATAGCACGTGCCATGTAAACTTCATAGCATTTGTCAAAAGCAGCGCACCATTAGGGTGTTCGTCATGTTTCTTTACGTGTTCTATCATTGCTAAAATACCAATCATAAACAAAAAAGGCCTAGTGACTTGCGCCTTTCATGCGGCTTGATTGGTCCCATGGCCTCGTTGAGTCGGCTGCATCTGCACTTAAGCTAAAATGAATATAGACCAACTGATGTTTACAAATAAACCGGAGCGCACCTAGCGGACGCCCCCGGCGCCGCGCATGCGTGATTGATTGTGGGCAAGAAGTTCGCCGTCGAACATGAACATACCACTGGAAAGCGGTGTTGTCGGCGTCGGTGTGAGTCCCTGTGGTCTTTTTTGCGTTGAAAGTGTTGATTCTACGTCTTCCTGGTAATGTCTGACTACTTTGGCGGCCTCATCAAAATTAACGAGGTTCGTTACACCGCAAAGCTTCGCGTGAATAATCTGACATATCCGCAATTCATTCCGCGTGGACGCCGCAAAATGGACGCTAAAGCCTGATTCGCATAATGAGAATCTGCTCGCTAATTTCAGTCATGACGTCTCTCGGGCTGCAAAAACGTGAACCGAAGCTTAGATGGTCGACATCGATACCGAAAATCGCAAGCAAAATCGGACCGAGTGAATCAGGCATAACAAGTTGGTGATTGCCACTGGTAAGAATTATCCACATCTCCTTGTATCTACTGTTTACACGGAGCTTAATTACCTCAACCAACCTTCAAACTTAAAGGTCTTTTGAGGCATGCACTTACTTCTTATCGCAGTTACGGAGTCAACGTTTTCATGTTTCTGTACGTGTTCTATCATCGCTTAACGCAATTACCGCTGCCGTTTGAACTAGCAGACGGCAACAAGCAGAAACGTTTGAGAGAGTAGACTACAGCTCGAACAAACAGTCGGCCGTTTGAACTTGATGGCGCACTGAGCGCAGTCCGCAGGTGGTCCGTGCAGCCTGGCGGTTTTCCAGCTTTCATGTTGTAACAAAACAAATAAATCGGACGACCACGAATATCCGTGAATTCAACCCAAAGTGCTTCCCGCACAAGCTATCGTGGTCCGACGGCGACTGGTTTTCCTTTTTCACGGCCCGTCTCCAAGTTCGCGGACGAGCCGAGCAGCCAGAAAACACATGGAATCTGACCTTCAAAGCTTTCCTCACTCTTTTGGCACAGCCCCAGTCGCAGCGTTTTGACGAGAAGGCAGGTTTTTGTCTGGTTTCTTTCAAAACAACACAAGAATGCACGTCCTGCATGGTGACTTCCGCCCACAGCCCCAGACCGGAAGTGTGCCCGACTCGCCGCCACCGCGCCCTGACGAAACAAAGCTAAGTTCGTGTATAGTCGGTTTTTTTTTTTTTCTGAATTTTTTATATTTACCAGTATCAGCCAGTCAGCGTTGATCACGTAACCTACCAGCCAATCGGCGGCAAGCTTTGCCGTCCATTTTTTTGGCCTTCACTAAATCTGGTGGCCCCCCTTACGTGGCAAAGATCCTTAAAACCTCGCGGGCGCGTAGGTATTCGGACCCCTAGCCTTGCGGCTGTTGCACGGCTGAAAGCTTCAGCGCTCCACCGCGCTTCCCGTGCATCCCAAGTCTCCCTAACATTTACCTTTTGAGTGGTTTTCGATGGCGCTCAGCTAGTTTCTAAATAAAACCATGTTTAGTTTTACTCATTTAGAAGTTAGTTGAGAAATTTTATTTAATTAAGCGACTTACTATGCCAGTTAGCCTTCTATATTATGTCCCCCTGGCTTTATAACTCACCTGGACAGACCGCGATATGTAGCTGTCACGGCTTTTAATAAAACAAACATGTACTGCCTAAGAAGAAAAAATTAAAAACAGAAAACACCCTGTGGAAAAGTATTAATTGAACAAATTTTGTGACCTATAAGCATTTTGAACCGTTTACCGTTTTGACTGGTTTCGTGTGTTCGAAGTGTAGTAAAGCTTAGAGTGTACAAATTCATGAACAGAGTGCATTCCAACTTTTTAGAAGTGTGTCGTTAAATGGTGCATATATCATATTGAAATTTCATGAAATTGCAGGGAAAATATTGAAGCCCAAATCATTATGCAGAGGGAGGAAAACTGTACAAATCCTCTGGCTGAAGCTGCTACTCACAAGCTGCACAACATTCAGCAACCTAGACAAATGATGACTGTGAATGTACGATTTTTTTTTTGCTTACCCGATATACTACAACAATAACAACAACGGCGACACCGACAAAATCAAGGACAACAACAAAGTGAACACCTGTGAACACTTTGACAACATTCCAAGGCTTTAATGATGCCTGACTAATAGTGTCCTAATTATTCAAGGTGTGTCTTTTACAGCTCTCTTGAAATGATCGTTTTCTGTGTAATAATTCTTTCCCCGACCTGTTTCAATTCCAAAAATTCGAGAACGTGTCCTAGCTTTTTCCAAATAAACTACGTTTTTTTGTTTGATTTTTTGCGTTTATTTTGAGCTTAGTTAAGGCATTATTCGTGGACTATGAAGTACAGGTCAAGCACTTAAAGCCACGAGCCAAAGATATTTCGAATGCTACACGCTTTTTCGGTGCGGGACAAAATGGTCGCCGTCAAAATGGGGGCCATTTTGACAAAATGGCCACGTTGAAAAAAAAAAAAAAAAGAAAGGCCCCAATAAGAATCTAGAAATTTCGTGTATTCTGTAGTTTTTAGTGAAATGCCCATCTAAGAATACTTCACTTTCAGTTGCTGCTTTGGATTTGCCTGAACCTGCTGCCCCAGTACGCACCGTTGCACTCAATATTGTGCAGCCTATCTCAAAACACAGCGGGAAGTATACGCTGCCCGGCGCTCTCTGCACCGCGCTACACTTTTGTGTACCGGTGCAGTCTGGTGCAGGGAGATCGAAAGAGCCTAGTGTATGTCTTACTGAATACGCGCATTCCGCTATCACGGGGCATTTTTGTTCGTCTTTGCAAGGTTTCTAAAGAGTAAATCCTCCAAATATTTAGATGAATGAATCGAACCGATCGAATGGGAACGAGAGTTAAAAAGCTGCCAAAAACGGTAATTGGCTAAGCCTGGATCAGAACCCGAGTCTTCTGATTAGTGGTCAGGTAGTAGGTGTTAGCGAGCGAACAGTAGTCAGTAGACCCCAATTCAGCTTCCGGCTCGGCCATTTAGTTTTCTCATAGTCGTACGCTAAAATCGGTAAACTTACCCTTCAGGTTGTAAATCTGCTTGTCCCAGAGCTAATAGCTGCAGAATATCCTAAAATAAGCTGCTGTTAATCTGAGCAGCATCATAGGGACATTTTACAAGCAGCAAGCACCACATGCAATTCTCACATGCGCAGCAAAGCCAACACAAACCCCATGAATCACGCTTGACATGGGAATCCCGACCGCCGAGACACTCATTCACAGATGACCATTTCCATAAGTATGGAGGTTACACGTGTTTTGCTTTGTTGTCAATATTTTACTTGGAACGTAGTATATCTAAGTCCAATGTAAGCATCTCCAAGTAAAACTCATCAATACAGCCAATGATAACTCGACACAGTTGCTAAAACAAGCAGTTTGAAGCGTGTCTAAGTAAAATATGCACCCTCCAAAAATGAAGGCTATTCTAACTTCAACATTGCAGCCATTCCCAAACACTTCCTTAAACATTTCAAAAATTAAAACATGGTGTTGGTAATAATATTCGCTATTCAGTGTTATCTCCTTTGAGGGAACCTTAAATAAAACTTAAATAAGCGCTGAAAAGTAAGTTACATTTTCTGTAAATAATCATTGTCATGACGTCCTTACAAATAACATACGGCATTTATATTTGCCGTTGTTTTTCGGTAGAATAAACTCCGCAAGCCAGAAACCGGGCTTCATGGATGTTTTCTTGGCAAGCTGCTGGTTTTTAAATACAAAGACAGCTTTTCCGTCAACTAAGGAAAATAATAATTAACTAAATTACTAAATCAAACATAGTTGGTTTGATGTGTTGATTGGTGTCTATGAAAACTTTTATTATGGGTCTTTTCACACTAATGGGGTGCACGATGAATCTTTGTTACCAAGCTCATGCGTTTATTGGTCACATGAAATGAACTCAGTTCGTCTTCGGATGGAGATGGGATGTCCTCCTGAGGCTTTGATTATTACTTCGTATTTAATTTTGAGATCCTCGAATGGTGTCGTAGCCATGATCTCGCACTTGCAAAGAACCTTGGCAAGCAATAGTTTCATTTCGAGCATGGCAAATCTTTGCCCTGAAAATAAGAGCATTCATCATTGATTTGAAGTTGTATGATGTAGACAGAATGATGACAAATCCAAGATACCAAGATTTTTCTTTACTTTTTAAGCTTCACAAAGACTTGGCATTTAAAAAATTAAGGCAATGTGTACGGAGACTATTTCATCAATGTAAAACTTTGTGTACGGTATTAGGGTTCTTGTATTTAATTGAAAATATAGTTTGTAGTAAGCTCGTTAATAAAAACTGGGAATCCTGAAAACAATATTAAAAAAAAATATTTTTCTATCTTGCTTGAATATGATTTCAGTCAAATATACGTACATTACTTATGTAATTAACGTCGTTCACAAATATTTTGTATTTGTTCTGGGTCCTATAGCTTGGAATGCATCATTAACCAAACAATGGAAGTAGACATGCAACGTGACTCAGGGCTGCAGCAAGTTCGAAAACGGCCAGTGAAACGCAGAGCCGTATATGTAGAGAGTTTGGCCATTCGTTGGGAAGTATAGGAGACAAATGAAGCGGCGCCATTGGCCGAAAGCGGGCTGGGCGTGTTTGAGGGCGTCTTCAGAAATTCGAATGTGACCAACCAGAAGCCGGAAATAATACCCTGGCGGTGGTCGCGAGAAACAAACCTGATAACTGCATTGGAGTAACTCTCGATGGCTGAAAATATGGTACACGTGACGTTTCAGACCCACTCATCTAAAGTGATAGTGGAAGAGTGCGACTAGCGGAAAGATCGACATAATCCTTACGCCAAACGCCGAGCGCCGGGAATCTGCCGTCAGAGCGGTCACACTCTGTCCGCGCAAAACAGAGTTGAGCGGCGCATTCGTTTCTTACATCTTTCTGCAAGATCATGATAAAACAACACGTGCACCCTATTTTCAACCACAAAGAGTTACTATACTTCACTCTTACGCGCTCATTAAAACCATTTACGAACAGAGACCTTCGATGATCGATCGGCTCAGAACTGTTTCTCGCTACCGCCGCTAGGGGATTCTTTTCGGCTTCTGGTTGGTCAAGAGAGCATGCCAAGCCCTCTTTCCGAGTCTGCCGCACGCCCTGGCTCTGCCCGCGCCTCCCATTGACCAAACTCTCTACATATACGGCTCTGGTGAAACGGTTTTAGCGACGAGACAACAGAATGTTCTGATGACTGAAACCTATATGCTTAAAAACAATAGTGTTCTTGATCAATAAGTTTTTTTCTTGTGAAGTTAATAAATAAAACAAAGAAAAAGAAAAAATCGCATGCCTAAGCAATTCTTGGCGCCTCCCGAGAACGGTATGTAGCTGAATGGTCGCAGACTTTTGTTCTCTTCTGCCATGAATCGTTCTGGAATAAACTTTTCGGGATCCTCAAAGCACGTTGGGTTTCTATGTAGGCTGAAGATGTCTACAGTAATCATGACACCTTTAGGTATCCGGTGGCCATCTAGAAAAAAAAAACAGAAGATAAATATTATGAAGGGTAGAATATAGCCAGGTGAGAGTATCGCATAGGCAATCAAAACTGAGCAGAAAATGAAATCTAGAAATAAATGCGGTAGCCCTTGATCGTTATTTATCGAAAATACACCCTATTGTTTTTTCTTTGATTGGGAATCTTTTTTCTGCAAGAACTTTCGTATGGACACCCGGCATTCTTCAAGTGTTCGTTTATTATCCTTGAGACAATCTATGAAATTAAGCGTTGTAATTCTGTTAAATGCGTTAGCATTTATTGCCCTGTGCATGCAGCTACCTTTCCTATGGACGGTCGTGGTTTGAACTGGGCTGGTGTGGACTGGGCTCGACTGGTTTGGACTGGACTGAGCGTTGCACGGTCATCGCCGTGATGTTTCGCTCCGTTCGTAGACTATAGTTCCGTCACTTTTTCCTCTTACGTAAGAGGGAAAGAGTCTTCTCGCACGCTTCCTAGGACGCGATGTAGGAGGGGGAGAGAAGGGGATCGAGTGGCCGTGGCACAACTTTTTTATCCTTCGCTGAGTTGGAACCTTCGCGCTAAATGCTAAAGCATTTCTTCGAGAATCATCGTAGTGACAACAGCAATTTCGGCGGAATTTTCTTTCTTCTGACCCTGTTATTATGTAAGTACAATTAGCCTTGGCCTATAGATTATGCGAGTTTTACAGATATTTGCATATACCGATACACTACTTACCCAAGACTAGTTCTTGATCCAGCACTCTGGCGACCGAAGGGAAGGACGGGTACAATCGAAGGGATTCCTATAAAAATTAGTTGCTTGCAAATGGTATTTTTCGAAAGCGTCACTTTCATTTTGAAGCTGAAGTGTAAAGCTATAACATTAATTCCCCCCAAAAGAAAACAAAAAAGCGGCAGTGGTGTATTACCTTCACGCAACATTCCAGGTATTTCATTCGTCGAAGATGGTACGTTGTGATTTCATAGTCTTTGGTCCCCCTGAAAATTTCGTCCAGCTCCTCGTGGACTTTTTGCTGGGCCTCGGGATGCCGCCCGAGTAAACTTAACGTCCAGCATATGCTCGTCGTGGTGGTGTCGTTTGCCTAGACAGACCATCAGTTATTTCATGTTGTCTGAGAATCCTCGTGAGACGCATCCGCTCCAGTTTGAACCGCAGCTGACGCTGCGAACCGACGGTGGCCAACCGAGCAGCGCCAAAACTGCATCGTCACGGCGCTCGTCGTTTTTGTGCCTTTGCTATCTCACCTGCTATACCAATCACGTACAGTAAATGCGCCGCGATCCTGCGCTTTTTTTGTTTGGTGTGTGTGATTGGATAGCCGTTGATATCAACCCCACACTGACGTCACTTCCTTCTCCCTGGTCGCCGTGAGAGTACAAAAAGTGCAGCATAGGTTCCCAGGGCTCAGATTGAGGCACCGCTATTGCCCGCTGTGTCATCCTCTCAATGTCGTCGTCGTCGTGTTCTTTATTTATACGCGGATGTTTAGATAAATAAAATAAGATAGATAAAAAGACATGGGTGAAGAAAGAATAAACAATTAAAACAGGGACAACACAACCACATCTTCCAACTAGCAACAGACGAGTAAACTTTCAACAGCGAGCAGCCGACTATACCCAGTAGGAGTAGGGGAGAGAAGTGGAGAGAAGGAAAGATAAAACACCTACTGGGTATAGTCGGCTGCTCGCTGTTGAAAGTTTACTCGTCTGTTGCTAGTTGAAAGATGTGGTTGTGTTGTCCCTGTTTTAATTGTTTATTCTTTCTTCACCCATGACTTAAACCAACACGCTCTTCTACCAAGCATAAAAAGACAAACAATCGAACGGCCAGCGGCGCGCCGTTCTAGTTATATTTCTAGTTATTTCCATTATTTCTAGTTATTTCTAGTTATACACGCCTGAAATAATTTTGTTCAGTTTGTGTCTGTCACCGAGGTATAACTTTACGTACAGAGGCAAATTCAAAGCAAAATATATACAATGCAAGTGTTTCTGACTCTACATTACAATTGCTTATATTTGAAATCCAGAGCACAAATTTTGATTGTAAACGTATAATTATTATATAGACATATTATAAACTCGACATTCTTAATCAATATGCTGTCACAAACGCATCGTACATTTTTTTTTTTTTTTTGTGACCGCAATTTTGGGCCCCAAGTTTCTTGGTGGAGGGCGGAGTGCTAACTTTACAGGCGCAAAAAGCGGGCCGAATTTGAAAGTCTCGAGGAATAAAAAGTATCAATTAAAATACCTGAATTTTAACTGCGGTGTGTGCTATGAGTCGGCCAATATTATATCCCTCGGGAACTTTACAATTCTTCATATCAGTTAGAAGAAATTTAGGATTTGTCAAAGTGGCCCATAGGACCCAATGCAACAATATTATATCGGGCCCAGGAATAAAATGTGCACAATCCTGAAATTCAGGTAGGTTGTAAATAAGAGTGTATTAGTGATCTCTACAGATATACCGGGGAAATTCAGGATTTCTGCAGTAGTTTGGTTGAAATTATCGTTTTACGGCGCGTTGCTGAGATTAGCCAAGAGAGGCCGCAAGGAGACCGTGTCCAGTAATGCTGGGAATGAACGAAGAACGAGGACCATGACGATGTATTTTATGCTTGATTGGCTGCATATAATGGTAAATGGAAACGAAGTCTATAGAACCCACCTGTCCCAAAAATATGGTTAGCAGGTTTGAATCGTATTCGTTGAAAGATTCGTAGGTAGAAGTCCGTCGGTTACTTACTGCGGCCACTATAGTTTGGATGTCTCTTCTTACATCGTCCAAAGTGTAGCTGCTGTTCAGACAATGCTGCTTGAGCAGTACATTCTTCAGAAGGGTCTTGTTTCGGACGGATTTTATTTTGTCTTTTTCTGAGTTTGACACCAAGACAGACTCGCTTCCCTCTCGTTTGTATTTTTGCTCCTGTAAGACCTTGATGTGAAATAACGACCAAAGGAGATAAAGTCAACCGGAATATCTCTGCTCCATTGGCGTAGACCACAAGTCGTCGGTACGATTTATCTTGAGTTTTTTAGTCTTAAGGTGATATTTGTTTTCTGTGAAGAAACCCTGAATGATACCTTGAGTTGGTAATGCAATTTTCTAACCAGAAATAACAAAAATATATCAATACTTACTTTTTTTTAACTTCCGAAGAAATTTAACGATTATTTATAGTGTATTTAGGTAGACTGTCGTTAACGTACGACTTAATTAAAATTGTCAATCAAATTTTAATATTAACATATAGGGTGGTTCAAGTCACCAGGCTCGATCTAAAATGGATCGTAAAGATCGACGCCTGCACGTAGTCATCTAAATTTTTCGTCAAAGGTGTATTTCACAGGTCTGTTTTTTCTTCTAAAATTACAAAGCGTAGTTCTCTTTTAGTAAGAAATAGGGCCAAGAAACTTGCCAGGGTCTACGGCGGGCGGCGACCCAGACGACCAAGTCCAGTAGTGGGGTGTGTTTGGTGTTCGTATTGATAGATGACGTCGGGAGCAGCGTCTGAAGGTGCAGCCGACCAGCGAAAGATAGCCGACGACACGCAGACGAAATCCGTTGGCAGCAAAAGCGCCGCCGTTATGCAGACGCGTTTTTTTTTTATACTTTAAGTTTTGCTTTTGTTGTTCGCATTTCTTTTTTAACCGAAAGTATATTTCAAAAATATTATATTCATTTTTATAAACCACGGTGGTCGCGAGCCGTCGCGATAAGGAGATAGCACCATCTATCAATACGAACGCCAAACACACCCCGCTACTGGACCGCTGTCGTCTACGTTGCTGCCCGCCGTAGAGCCTGGCAAGTTTCTTGGCCGTATTTTAACGAAACGTTTAGATGGCTACGTGCCGGCGTCGATTTTTACGGTCCATTTTAGATCGAGCCTGGTGACTTGAGCCACCCTAGATATTAAACATCCCACTAGCGCGAACTCCAACGAGCAACGACCTCGACATTTTTCTGGCTCTTATAAACACAATTCGGACAATTAGGTTTTTTTTTTTTTTTTGCTATAAAAATCTTTTTTTTTCGGATAGAAACTGAGGGGGAGGATAAGATGAGAGCGCGCAGGGAAGTCGAAACACCGTGCTTTGGTTGAAAAATCAGTTAATAAACGCAAGGGTTGCTGTCGTTGTCTCTATTCTCACTTTTCGAACGCGCTCGAGCGCAAAGTGCCAGCGTTCGGCATTCGAACGCGCTCGAAGAGCGAGTAGAAACAAAGGCAGTTAGCTTGACGTCTACCCATTAATAATTGCAACCAGAGCTTCACGCTCTGCCGTCTCCGTGTGTCCAGGTCTCCTGGTCTCCCTCCGTTCCTACCCGCACACACAACCACAGTCTGCCGATGACTTTAAGTTTGCATAACCGCTCAATTTTCTGAACTCCGTTCCCTTACGATAGACCGTAGCGGACGCTACGAGCCATCGGAACCAATGCGGAGCATGAGTTCGTCTGCTTCTTTTGCTGGGGTCGAAGTGACATCAGAGCGCCGAGCTCCGACTGGTTTTCAATGAAGAATATATTGGGTAGACCTCGAGGCAGCTTGCTTCGAGGTCCACCCTCTGTCCTTCAATCAGAGCCGATCAGAGCTCGACGTCGTTCTGACTTCACCGTAACTCCTAAGCAAGAAGCAGACGAATTGCTCTCCGCATAAGCCATGTCATGTTAGTGTGCAGGTGACCTTCCGGAAGATCGGAGCGACACGCTGCTCCGATCTTCTGCATTCACAGCGTTAAGATTGGCTGATATGGCTCGTAGCATCTACTGCGCTCCTCCATCGTAAGGTAAAAAAAAAAGTATAATAGGTCCGCAGTGATTATTTTTTAGCATTTTTCTTACACATTTAGTGATGAGCTCCATTTGGTGAATGTCATCCTTGAAGAGTTTTCCATTGCGCGTCCGGTCGTAGATGGACTGAATCCAAACCCATGGCGACACGCTTCTCACGACCGTCAAATTCATGATTCTAAAAGGTAAGTGATGGGTGAAAGCGAATTTTTATAGAATCCGGAGCGCAAGTTCGTCTGCTTCTTCTGTAGGGATTGTGGGGACGTCAGAACGCTGAGCTCCGATTGGCTCTGATTGAAGGATAGTGGGTAGACCTCAAAGCAGATGCACTCAGGTCTACCCGCTATCCTTCAATCACAGCTATCCGGAGCTCGGCGTTTTGACGTCACCACAACCCCTGCAAACGAAGCAGACGAACTTGCGCTCCACGTTGAAAGTTTCTAAGGAACATATATGGTATTGTTCCAGGGAGTATGTTTTTTTTATTTATTTAGGACACCAAAGCGTATTCTCCGTAGTGACTGTCGTCTCATGTGACACTATGTAGCAAATATTTACCTGAGCAAACGTGGCCACTATAGATATCCAGAATTAAGACACCAAGTGGTTGTGGTTGTAAGAACTTCAATTTAGTAAAAACTTTAATTGAATTAAGACACCTGTTTCGTAAATTTGAGAGTATTATAATTATATATATATATATATATATATATATATATATATATATATATTTTATATTCGAGTATCGGCGAAACAAAACATTGTGGTGTCAATCTTCCGACCTCAAGGGGCAAGAATGTTGGGGCAATTGTCTTCGGAAATTGTAAGTTCTGTTAATCTTGAAGGTGGGCATGTGAAAGAAGTAAATGCTTGCTTTGCTGAAGAAGTGGGTTTAAAGATGCGGTGAAGCAAAAATTTCGAAATAAATCTTAATCGCGCTGTCTTCTATCCTAACCAGTAAAGATGAAATATTTGTTAACAGCGTTTGCCAGGGAGGAGTCGAAGCGCGATGTGCTTCATAATTGACTTGGTTAATATATTTTTTTTTTGAAAATTAGAATATTAAATAGATGAAAAAAAAATGTTTTCTGGAGTCCTGTTCCTGTTTAAGAAGTCTCCATCTACTCGAACATATTCCCTCTTTTTGTTTTAAACAGCACTAAAAGTGCGGCTATGTCTAGGAAGGTTTTTTAACTTCAGAGCCTAAAGGCCCGTTCACACTTTTGCAACCGAGTACGACCGAGAGAGATGAGATCTGGTAAAACTTGTTAAAATTTCTTGGGACGAGGGAACGCACTGGCATTCTGGCGTCATCTATGCGGTTACCCTGGAACTGCATTTCACAAGAGCGCAGGTTTTGCGGGGTTTCTGAGGTCAAGTGTGCGTAACACCTATAAGAAAGGCTCGTTTATAACGTTTGCAAAAGTTTTTCGAGCCAAAAAAGAAATGATAATGCGCGGGAGAAATAGAGAATATGCCGGACCGCCAAGCTTACACTGCTACCCGATAGATGGTGCCACTGTGTCCTCTCGTTTTACGAGGTTTTAAGGGACCAAGTTCTAAGAGGTCGCAGGAGTGTGAACAGTCTTAAATATGTTGGCTTGATTTTACATACACCTTTTCTTGTAGAATTAAAACAGAAAGCTTATGAACTATAAATATCACACAGGTTCCTTTTTGTATTCATTTAAAATCTAGTACTAATAAAAACAAGCATTAAAGCTTCAGGTCTTCCTTTAAGCATTAATGTTCTCTTACCTGTTGAATGACGTCATCAACTTGAGATTTTTGTCTTTTTGGAGGTGCAGATTTGTTTCCATTGTGACTTCTGCAAACAGTTTCTGTTCAGCATAACTCCGCAAAGCATGGCACATATGAACTGTGACAACGCAAATGTTGTGTCGCATAGGTTTTTTTTTTTTTTTTACAGCAGGTAGATTGTTGTACGGGATGAAGGACGTTTGGCGACTAAAAGGACGAAAAAGCCTCTCCGCCAGGGGACGAGTTTGCGGTGAAACGCTGATCACGATGTTTCAGATCACGAAGTTTCAGATGTCAATTTCCTGGTGAGTTTCCCATTGTAAATTTGTTGCTTGGAGTCAAAACAGTCTTCTTTTTTTTTTGCATTATCATTTGCCCATCCCCTTTGCAAATTATTGTAACTGTCAAACGACCGGATGTCACACGATGTCAGTTTTCCAGCTAAATTTAACGAGGAAATTCAAACACAGATGGACCAACGGAAAAATGTCTGGAATTAAACAAAATCCGTTAAAAATGCTTCAAACAATATGGGAACTGAGCGAAACTTGCGGATATTTATTGGATAATACAGTCAAGCTCTGAGTATCCCTCAATAACGTGCCGCCACAAAAAAAAAATCTTTTTTTTTATTGTGTAGTTTTTTTTTCGTTTGAGAAATCTTTTACCAGCGACTTTTATATTTAAATTCCTATAGCTCATAGAATGCCGTATTTAAAAAGCGATTGTTTGAGTTTGTTTAGGAGACATTAGGCCGTCATTTCCTAAAGTGAAGACTATATTGTTTATTCCTTTCCTCGCTAAATGTTCCGGGGAAATCGGCATCACTTGACCTGGCTTCACGTGTCGGCATGATATTATGGGACACCAGGACTTGACGCCATGACTTCTTGATGTCACGTGAACGGATGTCACGTGACCGGATGCTACGTGACCGGATGTCACACGACGTGAATTTCCCCGCTAAATTTAACGGGGGGAACTCAGGTAGGAGGGGTGAACGAACAAATGTCTGTGGCTTCCCTTTAAAAAAATAATTTCATGTCTTAAACACTGTGGAGACTAAGTTCATTTGCAGACATTTATTCGACGATACAGTCAAGCTTGGACCGATGCATGTGTCCGCCAGGAAGTCGCATAGGCTGTTTCATGGGCGTCACCCAAAGTAGCTCAATCCACCCGCTTCCTCTGAGGTGCCTTTATTTTTCTGAAGTCGGGCTTCAGTGGCAGAATTCACTATTTATATTTGTTAGTCTTTTTTTTTTATTTTGCAGCGCATGGTCATAACTATCGCGAATTTACCATCTGCCAAGAGCAACAACTTTGTTGTGGCGGAAGGCACGTTGAATCTGCATGATCGTGTATCCCTTCCAAAGAGCTCATTTCTTCTTGGCAAAATATAAATGAGAGCTGCAATTCTGAGCATGCGCTGTGAAGAACGACAAACAATATGACGTCATATGAATATGTAATGTAAACTCCCCTATAAGGTAGACCACAGAGGTATCGATTATACGTGTTGGAATAATTGGGTAACCGCATCTTCTTGTTTCAAAAATAGTAGAAATATTAAATCAATACTCACCTGCGATGATGTCCAGCGCGCATTTCTGCACCATCTTGAAGAGGCGGATGGGTTCGTTGGGGGAGCGGTCGATGGTCGAACAGATGTTTCCTACGAGCAGATCTCCGTTTTCGTTGAAAATGTGGACGTAATGCTCCAGCGCGCGAGAAGAGTGAAATGACTGCTCCAACAACTTTCTCTTGGAACGCCAGGCGTGGCCGGTCCTAAGCAAAACAGGACGAAAGATCCTTAAAGGCCCTCTATTCATAAAGCAGCGCCAAGCCCACTTTCTATCGAGAATCCGTCGCTCTTTCCTCCTTTCCGCGTATCTCTCCCTCTCTCATTTCGACGGTAGCGCCTCCTAGGCTCCCCTTCCCCCGAGCGCTCCGAAAGAAGACTGCTGGCAAACCCGTGCTAGATCGGTGTTTTCTGCGCGATTTCGACTCACATCTTTCGTGTTTTCGCTATGATAGGAGTTCAAGATATCCTTCACGTCTTCGGTATACTGGGTATGTCTTTCCATTGCTTCAGGTCTAGAGCAGGCACGTGCGTTTTGTCGATGCTTCGGCTGTGTGTTCGCTCGGATGCAATATTTCGCTTTTTAAATGACCATACAATGAAACTGAACGGTGAGACGGATCGTCCTAATCCTATTTGCTCTTCAGCAGACGGGGGAGCCAAGGCGATGAGCGCGAACGCGTTTCTGTTATGGAATACGAGGCCGTTATATTAAGCTGCGAACGGAGCTAAGCATGCCGGAATTTCCGTGTCGCCGACTAGCTCGTATCCAAACCAATCGACAGCAAATATCAACACTGCTTATACATTTTTGTTTCTGCCTTTACACGCCAAAGTGACAAGGAAAGAAAAACGCGAAAAGTGTGTTTTGTCAACACGCGCAAGTCATGTTGTAACCCCACGTCATAGCGGTGGTTCGATGACGTTTCTAAAAAACAAAACACGCCACATACCGAATAAAAAAAAAAATAAAAAAAGCTTTGACGGGCGGCCGTCAGCGTAGTATGTATGCCGGAGAATGCGAGGGCTCAACACGGAAGGGCACAAATGGCGGACGGCAAAAGTGGCAAACCGAAACCGGACGAACGCTCGGCCAATCAGTGGTAGAGAAAAGGGGAACTTTGAAGAGGGAGAGGAGGATTTTTCTAGAGGATCAGAATTTGGCAGAAGATCAATCGATGGTGCTACTTTCAGTATAGAGGGGCTTTAGAAGGATCCTCAGGGCTGGGGGGCCCATATCGGAGAAGGTAACAGGACACGTTCGTGCCACCGAAAAGTTCGACCGCTCGAGTGGAGTTTGATCTTATGCACCATTTTACTAAAGACCATCTGTGCGCGGTGAGCTGATCTTCTGATCACGCGTAGTAGCTCTCTGCTGCAAGTGGGCACATTTCGCCTCGGTAATAATAATAGCTGTAAAGATGTACGGATTACACGCATCTTGTGAATCTATAAATCGACAACTACTGCACGTTTGTGGTCCTCTTCTGCTTATATATGTACATAATTCAAAGTTCACACTTTTTATAGACCTTTTCCGCTTACTCTCGCCCCCGACCGCCAAGCAGGCAGATCCGGTATGGGCGACGAAAAAATATTAAAACGTTGCAACCTGCATGTAGTAAAAAAATAGAGGGGAGAGAAAACGAGTATGGGTGACGGTTACGCTTTTCTCTTAAATGCATTCTATTGGCGTGGCGACGGCACAACAATGTTTTCGCCCATACTGGAAGTGACGTCAATTCAAGATGGCGGCGCACTTGCAGAAAAGGTCTATAGACAGTATAAAAAAGCAAAAATTGCAGCTGCATTTCGGTCTGTCGATCTAACAGCCATGTATAGAAGTACGTTTTATAAGAAACGTAGCCGACGCCCACGTTCGAATTTGGCGTACCTGGCACGCGCATCCGCGTATTTTCAAGGCCTTTTCACACATACAGCGGAGCACTATAAGCACAGCGCTCACCTCGCGCTAAGCGCTTGCTGACGTAGGCGTCCACCAGCTTTGTATCCCAACGCCAAAAGTGTTGTTCATGGCAGACGTATGTAGCCGACGACACGCGAGCAGCGTTACATCAGCGCTTCGTTGCCTGTGAGAACCGGCCTTTAAAGTGTCGCCTCGTCGCCCCGACCTTGAGACGACACACACGAGAAGAGACGACACGTACGCGTCATCTCCTACCTCTTGATGGCACACGCATCACGTGACTGTGACAAGTGGCATAGCCTCCTCTAAACTGACAAAGCCTGGCAGATCGCCACGAGACGCGGCCGTCGAAAGTGAAAAGGTGGAGCGGCAGGCAAAAGGCATGTAACTGGCGCCGCGCTGCGGCGAGACGCCGAACCACACTTCTCCCGAGCGATGGAATGTCCGCTCGCGCTTCTCGCGTTCTTCGGGCTACCGCTTCTTCTCTCGTCGGGTTTGAGAACCATGTTTTGGGCCCTCGCCACTCCAAAAGCTGTGCGCTGACTACAGGCCCCCCAAGAAATGCTCTGTGCCACCAGATCCCCGCGCTCCGAATCTGCGACTAGGCACTCTATGGCTCCGTCATCGAGCTGCCAGGCTTTGTGATTCAGAGGATGCTACGCAAGTGGCCATTATGCATATAAATTGTGACGTGTGCAAATGTGGAAAGGACAACCTCGGCTTTTCCACTTCTGCTACTCATTTCAGTCTATTATGGTAACATTTCCTCCTCCCACTTCCGCTACCCTCCCCACTCTTAGGAGTGTGTGCGGGGGGGGCGGGGGGGGGGGGGTGTTTGCAAGCTAGAAACACGTTTCGAATTCGAATGGAATTCTGCATGAGAAAAGGAAAAACGGATGAGTTATGCGGTTTTGTTTTTCTTAACGTAGCTCCTTCAACTTCGGAACTTCTGTTGGTTACGATGCTGCTTTCACCTCGCTGTAACGCCGTGGTTCCCGCTTCTACCTGAGAGCTAACGAGGTGGTGGATACTCACGCCACCAAAATGTTTTGCTGTCCCAGCCATGAGTTGATGAAGTCGTAGATGAAAGGCTTACGGTGGTTGACGCTGCTTGTCAGTAGCGTCTGGAAATCATAATTTTGTTTTAATGGTAGGCAGCCATGGGTTTGAGGCAACAGAAGAGCTGAAGAGCAGGCTCCGCTCACAGACAACGCAAATAAAGCTCAACTTAATACTCGATTCTCCGAGAAAAAAAAATTAGAATTAATCTGAGCGTTTATTTTATTGGAGTCAATCGTGGGAAAAATTGACTCCTTCAATGATTGTCTCTCCTTTTCTGTAAAGAAAATGAATGATGCATTCGTAGTGACTGGTGTACTGATTTCGATTTTCATTTGGAATTTCGGGGCGGAGGTGGTTTTGTGGGTCTTAGTTGCAAAAAGCCAAAAAGTAGATATTGTCACCGTACCTCGACTGCGCCGGGGGTGTCGATCACGACGACTGGCGTCATTCCCACATAGACCTTCGACGTTTGGCCCGGGTACTGACTGGCGAGCTTACGTATCACGACGAACACCCCTAGAGAGAAACGTACTACTTGTTCATGCGCAATGTCTAGACCTATATACGAATAGAGATGCATTCTATTGACCGGAAGCAGGGCGCACGACTTCATTCTAACATGGAGAAACAAAATCACTAGGGGTGATGGTGCGGCAGTTAAGAAACCCTTTGCCTCTCATCTCGAATTAAAACACGCACGGCTTGAAACTTTACATGGCACCCAGTTGTTTCATTTGGTGTACGTATTTATCCTTCACACTTCGTTTCCACCATTTTTGTTCATACGCTTCAATCACTGTACGTGTCTTCATGCACCGGCAATATGCTACCCCGGCCACTACACTCATCTGAGGAACAATGAAACCGCTTTCAAATTTAGGCAAGCCGACTTTACACGTTACGCGTTATGCTACGATGAGTATAGTAGATCATGTCGCGGCGGCGAAATAAATACTATAAGGTCACTAAGAGGTTGGCGAGCGCAGGGTGTGGCTTATTAGCTTCAGACTTGGGAAGTAATCGGTTACAAGTAACGGATTGCTGGTAATCCGATGCTTTTTAAAGCAATTCTGTATTTGCCACGTTACGTTTTTGCGGCAGTAACTTTTAATGTCATCTCGTTACAAAATATTGGTTACGGATCACTAAAATTACTCGTTAGTTTTTGTTTTTTTTTTAATTGTAAACATATAATAGAGCAGCTGGAGCGAGATGAGCAGGCAGTTAAATAGCATAACAACAACAAGTCAGAAAAAAAAAAAACATCTTAAAGGGGAGAATAACCGAAGAAAAAACACGAATTTTCTGTATGACCTGACACGAGAACCACTAGAAACACGCGCAAAACATGTACAAATATGCGAAAAACACCAATAAAGTAGACAACGCCGAGGAGGCGTTGTCTTCTTGATCTCCTAGTGAATGTACATACACGTTGTTAATGAGCATGCGCACAGATACCTTTGTCTGCAGAATTCCAGTGATAATTTCCGGTCGCAGGAAGCTAGCGGGAAGGCGGGAGTGGTAGCAGTTTTCGCTGCCTTATCAGTTTACGTGTGAATGGAGTACAGCCACATTGTTTCTCTTAAATACAATATGTTATTTGTACAAGGATGCGGGCGTATGAGATATAAAAAGTTGCTTGCAAAACATTTTTGAAAACATGAAAATTGTTTCTATTGTTTTCTTGATAAGTGTAGGGAAAAGAAACTTGAGAGTAATTTGTAACGTAACTAGTAAAGTGAACCGTTACTTTTCAGCACAAGTTAACGGGCATTACAAGAATGATTACTTTCACGATTAATCCTTGCTTTTCCAGAGTGGCTGTGTGGCGTTCTATTTGCTGATGCCTAATGTTATCAACTGTGAAGTTACAATAAAAAGCTCAGGAATCGCCATGCTCAGCTTTTTTTTTTTATGTGGCGGTGATTATGGTCACCCTATAGTCATCTGTCGTACCGCTGCAAGTACTACGGTCTTCAATCTGGGAATGTTATAATTAGTATGACTACAAACTACAGCTAGTTTTAGTTATGCGTTTGGATATGTTCTAATACACAGCTGCATATTATACACCTATTGTGAAGTATTTTTGATTGCATCAATTTACGCGGATGCGCAGGTGTTTCAGTTTAAGTGCAGACGGGATCTGGTCTTAAATATGATAATTTCGTATTTGCAGGTTAGAGTATATCTCTACTCGTTGTCAGATTTAAAAGAAGTACGTTTTGCACATTACACATGCGCTGTGCGAAGTAGTTCTTACGAGATTTGCTTGTCGAAGAAAGTAACGATGCCTTTGGCGTTTGAAATATGCACTCCTCGGTAATAGTGTAACGATAATCTTAGATTCACCCACAAGTATCTTACTTCAACACATGAAAGGGGAAAATTAGTAACGTTCCGCGAGGGATCGGACTTCTTCTGCCACGGTTGTTGAGGTGAATGCATACGACTATAGATTGAGCAATGTGTCCCCGATAAATGATACAGTGAAGCAAAACTTACACGAGGTGATGTCCTTTTTGGGTACCCTCTCTCTTATCAGGGTGCCGAGTGATCGGACGAGGAACCAGAAGGGCAGGAGGTCGGGTGGCCCTGGGAGGGGTCTCAAGGCACTCCAGATTTGAGACCACCGGAAGACTCGTGGAACCACGTGAATGCAGACTAGCACGCCAAAAATCCATGGCACCATCTTCAGAAATGCGGCGTCACATTGCGAATAAAAATCTTTTAGGGAAATTAAAATCATTGCTTTCTCGTGGTTGGCTCCTATTTCTGCCAGCGAAGAAACGACACTCTTCGACCCGATGCAGTCCATTAACTAACGCTAGCAGACTTATCAACCACCCTTTTAAATGTACCGTATCTAACACGTTTACAAATAGTTTTTTTTCTGTTTTTTTTTCTTTCTGTAAAGCAAGTGTGGAGTAGATCAAGTAACCAAGTTAGTAATTGTTAACTCGACCTTGACGTAAGCAACGTGCCGCTGTTTATTTCTCAAGAATGAGCCTTCGTGTGAACCTTTGGTCTTCGGTGGTCGTCACGCTTCGAGTTTTTTTTTTTTTTTTGCGTTTAATGTATTGTCAAAGGGAAAAAAACAAGATTTCCTATATATGAAAATAACTTCTTGTCGCCAGCTTTTGCGTGTATAGGATTGTCAGGTTAGCTTCAACACTCGCTGATTGCTTTTCTGGACGTTTTCCCACGGTCTCTGAGCCGAGCCAGGAGCAGTATTTTCCTTATGGCATCTCTGTTGCACAAGTAGATTATTACAGTAGAAGTCTGCGTCAGCTTCCATAAACTAGTCGTTAATGGTTTAAACGCTCTTAAGAAACAGTCACACACTTGCGCAAGTATGATACTTCCGTCTGCGCTCGAGTAGGTATGCGGCGTATCCGTCGGCTCAACGGTTTTGCCATTAATTACTGCGATGTATTTCTGCACGCGATGTGGTACGACAAGACTCGGTTAACACATTTTATTAAAGGAACAGGACACTGGGAAGACACTGTTGGGAGTTAAAGTGTATGACTGGGTGACGCATTTCTTTTATTTTCTATTGTGTTGACGTTGCGGCGTCTCTCGACTCAGTGAGAGTAGATGGGCATTTCATGTCAGTAAATATTTAGAAAATCATTTGATAATATTAATCTGGAGGCTATTACGGTATTGTTCGCGAAGTTTACGTAAGCGAGTCCCGTTGAAGCCCTATGAGCTAACCGATACGAAGTGTAAGTATACAAACTGTTTATTATTTTTTGTTTTGTTTTGCCTTACAGATTTGTTTTACAGAAGCCATGAAAGCTACGGTGATGCGGTTTGCGGGTGTGAGTTAAACGGCCATGGGGGACATAATAGAGGGGAATAACGGTCACAATAAATGGGATCATTAACTAAATTTCTTATTTAACTGTTTAATTGGGGAAAACAGCGTGTAATTTCAATTATAAACTGTCTGCGCATCACGCGAAACCACTAAAGAAACATTTTTTTTTAAAGATCCGAGAGCGTGGGAGACGGGTAGAGCTCTAATGTTAGTGGTCGTGCAACAAGCGCGAGGCTGGCGCTACGAAATGGCGGTTGATAAGAGAGGAAAAAAACCGCGCGAGCGCACTTTCGCAGCGGCAGCCTTGTGCCCACTGCAGGCGTGGGAACTTTAGAGCGCTATGTACGTACTTTTCACGTGCCCTCCCAAATATGTCTAAGATTTACTGATTTAGGGATCTTGAAGATGTTCAGTAGGTTTCTAAATAAAACCATTTGTTTATGCTCAATAATTAAAAACTGTTCGTTAAATCCTCCATATACCTTTATGTACATTACGACCCGTGGCCGCATAATTCACCCGCATTAACCGAATTAGTGAAGCATTTCCTGTTTTTTCCTTCAAGTTGTAAAGCAAAAAAAAAAAAAAATCTCCCGTATATTGATACTGATTTCTGAGCGAGTTGGTGCTAAGTATGAACATGGTGGCGCTTGTGTTGTCTCGTTATTTCCCCTTGTCCGTGTCTCTGAGCTCGACCGTGTTTTCAGACTTTCTTATATGTCAGCAGTTGACCTTCGGCAAAAGTGAGGTGCGTTTACTCATGATTCGTCCTGATGTCAATGAACCTTGGAGAATACACAAGCTTTTTTTTTTTGTTATGTACATAATAAAAACACCCCGTGACTGGGAAAAAGATTGCACGGACAAACACAGGTCTCAAACACAGTCGAATTTATTTGACAACAGTTGGTGTTCATGTAGCCTTCAAGAACCCACACAAACGTGAAAGAAACGAAGATACGAATAACCCTTTCAACAGAAACATAAAAGGAGAGTGACCACCAAGTTTTTTTCGTTTCTTCATTTCTTTCATGTTTGAATGTGTTCTTGAAGTAAACACCACCTCTTGTCAAATGAATTCAGTTGTGTTTGAGACCTGTGTTTTTCCGTCCTTTCTTTCTTCCAGTCTCGGGGTGTCTTTACTATGTTTAATTACCACCAGTTTATTTGCGCCCTAAACCTTCTGTTTTTTTTTTTCTTTTTTTGTAATCTATTGTTTCTTGCTCTGCGAAAATTTCACGAAGCAGGCATCAATCGGAATTACTGTGTTTCAGTATTGTGTGCACGAGCGAACGCATGCAACTTTACGTTCGCGTTACTGCGTGTTCGCGGAGCCCGAACTGCAATCTTGAATTTGCGCATGACGACAGCGCGCACGCCGAGCGTGGAGTACGCAACGCTAACGCAAACGCACAGCGCTTGCGTTTGCTTTCATACTAAAACTCCCTAAAAATATAAAAAAAAACATATTCTAGACAAATACAAAATATTCAACCACACATGTTTTATTGTACATTGCATTCGTTCAAGATACGATTGAAAAACTTCTTTCGGGCGATAAACGGCACAACACTTTTTTGCGAACTGACTAGACTTATTCCTGAGCTTCCCGCCTTCGGATCCAAACACGAAGCTCTTCCCTCGCGCTAATAATTTCGTCGATGTTAATTTTGGGATGATCCAGAGGTCTTATTATTTCGACCTTGAACTTCGAAAATATCTTGGCCAAAAGCAACTTTATTTCCATCATGGCGAATGCTTGCCCTGAAAACAAAACAAAAAACAAGTTAAGTAAGAATGTTCTTAGTAACGTATAATATAAAAAAAAATTATAAACATAAAAAAAGAAAGTGCACTGATGCAATAAACTAGAGGTGCGTTCTGCGGATAAAATAATATTAGAAAATCACCGGTTATGCTCATCCTACTACGTAGCCAATTTTGACTGCGTAGTAGGGTGAGGTTTACAGCTTCGCATTAAATAAACGGCGAAATGGAATTTCACAATTGAAATAATCCATACTGATTAGATTGTAGTGTGACTATTGTTACAAGAAACTTATGTAACGAAGGACGATTTTTTTCACGTTTTCTTTTGGTGATTTGCTTTTCGGCGTTATTGTTGGCTAATGCGGCCACCTCCATGACTATACGGAATGAAAATTAGGTACGCATGAGTCGCCGTACCCTGCCTTCTTTAAGTTGTCGGCAACGTTACTAAAACACTCAGTTGGGAAACTCCCATAGAGACAGCCCTAAAAATATGGCCCCAATCTGTCTCCGAGCACCGAGCTAATGACGAACACAACGCCACCATTTCTCCCGCAGCGGCCACTCGAGAAACTGCACGTGACTTCAATTTTTGGCTTTGACAGCGGTGAACCGCCGTCTCTCCGTCAGACGCGCCGCGTTGAAGTACTGAAGTTAAAATGGACCTAGGTCTGGACGCGCTACCTGAAAGGCCCGCTGAGGCATGGTTTTATAAAAACAATATTAATTGTTCCGCAAAACCTTGCGAACTAAAGATGATAAAAACATCACGCGCCCATCATTTGGTACTAAACTCCAACAAATTTAATACAAAAAGAGTCTTTTTTGTTTGTTTTTACGCAAAAAACAGGCTTTCAAAACGCTCGAGGTGACCACAGTACAGACAAATGATAAAGAGTGGCGCTGTTGTCGCATTTAGCTCGGTCTCGGTGGACGCCAGCGGCCCAGGGTTCCACGGCGAGTTTCCCAACTGAGTGTTTTAGTAACGTTGGTTGTCGGCGACTTCAGTGGCTTTGCTGCTCAGCAGAATAAACAATGGAAACACTCGGAGTCTCATCACGCCCCCAGACCTGAGTAACAGACAACTTTTTAAATAAAGTGTGTACCTAAGCACTTTCTGGCTCCTCCAGAGAAGGGAATGTAGACGAAGGGTGGCCGAAACGTTGTTTCCTCCCTCATGAATCGTTCTGGAAGGTACCGTTCGGGGTCGCTGAAGTATTTGGGGTTCCTGTGGAGCCTGAAGACGTTTATGAAAAACTGCACGCCCTTTGGTACTGTTTGGTTGTCTGAAAATGAAGAGAAAAGAAATAATGAAGTCCCGAAGTTTAGTACAACCTTGTATACACTCATGTAGTGTTTGAACTGTAGAATAGTCGAATGCTCTGATAATTGGTGTTTGAACGACAGCGTAACCAGCGCAAGAAGACGGGACAACGCCATAGGGGATCAAGCAGGACGGGTGCTAACTTGCAACCTAATGTTTTTTTTTTTTTTTTTAAAGCCATCCTGGTTGCGTTTCGTAGTTCGCGCACACACAAGCTCATCTTATCACAAAAATGCGACAAAATCAAAGATGGCCTGTGCGGTTCCCTTTGACGTTTTCATTACATCGTGTGTGAAGTTCACGTAAGTCATTCTAGTTGTTTGAACATGTGCAGGATTTCACTACTTATATTGCTCGAATAAAACTTTTAGCTGACTCTTATGTTGTTGTTTTTACCAATAACTTGGTCGTGCTCGAGGACCCTTCCCACAATGGGAACGGGTGGGTAAAGTCGTATGGTTTCCTGCAATTAAAAAAACAACAAAAAATACGGTTACACACTGTTACAAAGTTAACCGAAGCGTTAGTGTTAGCCGTCTCTGGCGAACTCAGGTGTCAATAAACGAATGCTTAATTGGTTCCTAACAATCTACTGGTATTGAAATGACATAATACGGGAGCTTTTACCTTGAGGCAGCACTCTAGGTACTTCATCCGTTTGAGGTCGTCAGCTGTGACACAGCGATTGGTGTCTGTTCCAAATATTGCGTCAAGCTCTCTGTGAACCTTGGCCTGCGTCTTGGGGTGCAGTCCGAGCATATAAATACTCCAGGTTACAACCGAGAGAGTGGCGTCGCTCCCCTGTAAGAGCGACTTTCTCTACATTTTTTGGGTAGGACACACGACACAGATAAGCGTTGCCAGTCGTAGCTACGCTCTAAGAAATATATATTTTATATAGATAAGTCACCACGCCCCACATTTGTGTTTAAACTACTAGTGGCTATTGTAATATTTTAAGGCAGCAACTACAATGCGACACCTTCACTGTGCTTGACAAGGAATCGCGTGTTTTTAGCTGGGATATCTATTTGTGTTTTTAACTTAGAAGACGTTCTGGCTTGGGCTTAGCCGATTCGCACCAAATGTCACGTGGCGAGGGGTTGCGATCGACGTTTCACGTTTCCAGCTCAATTCAGTGGGACGCTCCTTCGTTGTACAGTTCGCTGATAAAGCCTGCAGGGGCATACCAAATGTCTGTGTCAGTGAAACAACAACAGCTGCGCAAAATCTGATGCGTGTTTCGTAGGGAGTGATTTGATTTTAAGCTTTATGTATTATGTAACTAGTTTAAAAAAAAAATATAAAAAAAAATGACTGTTGACATTATTTACTTGCCCACCATGCGGAAAATTTGAGGGCGATGTTTTGGACGTTACGTTTTGCGGATTTTATTGAATTTGTACGTTTCGAACTTTGGTCAGTGTCACCGATGAAGCAGAGCCCCCTCGCGGATGGAGACAAAATCCCATTGGTTAGCGTGAGCAACCATGCGATCATAGTGACAACCAATGTCGTAGTCGTCGGAACTGGCGGTATTATAATAATAATAAGGGGTCTATTTCCATCGAACGTTGATGGTGGCGATAAACAAAAAAAGCTGTATAGCGCAGCTTGACAAGTCCTGGACCGCCGACAAACCACAATAGCAGCAACTCAAACAAAAAAAAAAGGATTACAAATATTGATTGCCGCAATTTAACAAAGCGTGTTTCAGACATAATATCTTTATCATCGGTTATAACAGAAAAGTGACCTATTTCCAGACAGAAGTTATGAGACTGTTTAGTTCATACTCAGATTCATGTTTGGAGAAGGTTAATCGAATTTATCAAAGGGAGAATGTACTGAATCTCAATCCTTCATCTGCAAGTGGGTTAAATATTTTTGGGATAGTATGTTTAAGCATTTGTGTGCCATAGTTCGTCCTTGCAGTGACCACCTCTCAACATTTCGCACGATGGGTAGAATACCCGTGAATATTTTCAGAGAAATTTATCAAAAAGTGTGTACCCATAATTTGTTCTAGTTTTAGACTAGTGACAAGTCTATAGCTAAATAAAGCATAACGCAAAACTTCTTAAATAAACTAGCTGTGGGGAAGTCGAATGGAATGCCTTCTATAGCCCTTAATGTTTTTCTTTTTTTTTTTAGCAACAAGTGTATTTTTTTTAGATTCGTCGATGCACCCCAGACTTAATTACAAGAATTTAAGTGGGAGTAAAATAACGAATTGTATAATAATAATTTCACCTTTGCTGGTAACATGTACCGGTTGACGGTTTATCACACCTACTAATTGTGACAATTTAGAGAGAAGATCGTTGACATGACTATTCCATGACATATTCTCGGTAAAATTACACCTAAGACCTCGAAAGATTTTACAACCTCTATTTTGGATGAGTTTAAAACGATATCTCTTGTAATTGTGACTAGTTTATATTTTGGGCGAAAAAACACCGCTTTTGTTTTTTCGACGTTGATTTGCAGTGAATTAATGCGACTCCAAATTGCTAATGCAGATAACGCCTAATTTGCCATGTCAAATAGCCCATCGACATTTTCAGCTAAAAAAAGTAAACTAGTGTCATCGGCATACTTGATAAATGTTGCATCAGAGTTAATATTCAAAATATTATTAACGTAAATATTGAAAAGAGAAGGACCTAATATACTTCCCCGTGGAACACTAGCAAGAATACACTTCGAACTTGACCAATATCCATCAACATAAACTAATTGTATTTTATGTTCTAGATAAAACTTTACTAATTGAAAAGCATGCCCTCGAATCCTATATCTATCCAAATTTGCTAGTAAGATGTCATGATTCATGCCATCAAAAGAAACATTTTGACAGGAATCCTGGAGACAGCCTGCGGGCTCTTTTATTTTTGTTAGTCTAGAAAGGTACACTTACCGCTAGCAAAAAACAGCCGATGTCTTTCATTACGTCCACAAGTGTGTAGCTTTTCTCTCGAAGATGCGTCAGCAGAAGCGAGTCAAGCAAGACTGCGTTCCTTCCATTGCCTGAAATCTCATCATCATCGATCTCAAATGTCGAAATAATCTGGATGATTTTGAGCCGGTCTCTTCTCTCTTGCATCGTCTTAAAATGGAAGAACGATAGGACGACTGTTGATTAAGCGTGGCGACTTGCGTTGACATTGTTAATTATTCCTGTGCTACAAAAAGCTGCCGTGGCTTTACTTTGCCACACATCACTCTAGAACCAACCATAAACCGAACAAGCTCAGCCAACGAAGACAAAGCAAAGAAGAAAGAAATACGTTCATCAATACATAAAGTCTTCAATTTGACGCTGATCATGGCGTTTCAAGCGCCCTACCTCATGCCGAGTGTGTCACATGACTGACTTGGTTTTTAAGTGAAAACGTTCATCAGGCCTCGCAATTCGCTGCGATATTTTTAAAGTCACAAAACGTTTAAAGAGCGCAGGACGCGTGGAAGGTCTGTAGATAATCTTATGATCGCTCCGCAGCCATTAAGATTGCGGCATATTCCGTTAATAAGAGCCTAAGAACATTAACAAAACAAGAAACGTGAACATATGCTGTCACCGACTATAGGGAGTATTCACTGGGCGCCATATTTGTGGGTGCTGTCTAGAGCGCATGCTGAGAAGAAGCCCACATTAATAGGCTGCTAAGACCGGAAATCTTGAGGGTGCGGAATGCACGCTACAAAAGAACTGTGGAAGCTCGCCATCATCACGCGGTCAGCAGTCGCGCACACAGATATGGCCGCCAGTGAATACACCCTATAATGGCGAGGTAAATACCGTAAATCGCGAAGCATGTGGTCTGACTTTCACTACGCTCAGACTAAGGCGAAACGGAGTATATAGTAAGCTTATGTCTTGAGGTTGCAGCGCACAAGACAAGGACAAAACGAGAGACACACAAAGAAACAAACACAAGCGGTGTGTTTGTCTCTTTTGCCCCTTGTTTTGTCCTTGTCTTGAGCGGTGTAACCTCAAGATGAATCACCAACTCGCCCAAGCTTCTGTATTAGTAAGCTTATTCATTTTTGTTAAAAATCCCGAGGGTATAAAAGTTCCTCACCGAATAAATTAACGGCTCCACATCTTGCAGGGTGTTTGCGATTTGTTGTTCCGAGTTCCTCCCGTTGCTGCGCCTTGGTAGCCATCGCCATCGCTCGAAAAAGTGAAACCTATTCTCGATCGTTGCTCTAAAAGTAACACAAGCATTCAAGGATTAATGGGTTCTTTTCGAGTAACGAATCGTGAAAACACCGTTTATGTGAGGAGCTGCATAAAGTACAATAAAAGTGCGTGTAAGGAGTGTAAATCTTTTTTTCTTATTTTAGATGGGCGCTTCTGCATTTTAATTAGAGTCATCAATAAGGGGTATGATTATTCTACTTCAGCCATTTTGCTAGCCTTTAAAACCCGCTAAAATTAGGAACTGATTACCTACTTGATTAAATGGTAGCTTTCATCAGCGGTTTCCTGTAGGCGGAGTTTAACTCCCGTTGCTACCTCTGGAAAAAGAGATGGGCTACTTCAGTATATCGTAATATTAAATCAAAACCACCCCATCATCATCAATATCATCATGATCATGAACATCATCATAATCAACATACACGTCATCGATATCTTTATTGTCTCCATTATCGTCGTCACTATCATCATCTTATCATAGATCTCAAACGCTTTGTTCGTGCTGCTGACATCAGTTCATGGTATATAAACGGAACATGCCAAGCATTCAGGTCGCGTATGCGTGACTCTATAGTGACTGAGAGCTCAAAAACGCAGAGCGCTGATTATGATATTCAACTGTCATTGTGTCGAGATTCGTTCGTCGTTGTTCTCATCGGATAATGTAAAATCGGTTTATTAACGTATTACACTGCGGTTTACTACGGATTTGTGGCCAGGTGGTGGAAGCGTGGAGGGAAAAAATCAACGGGTGACTATACATTGCCCCCCTCCCAAAAAAAAAAAAGAAAAAAAAAAGAGATAAAAGCTTGTTTCGGGCTATTTGCGGCGGCATTCGCAGACGGTGCCATGACCGTGCCCGCCTAGTTGTATGTGCTACCGAAATATGGCGAAACATGAGACACGAGAGTAAAGCGCTAGATATCTTGACGTATACAAGTACCGCCATCGTTTCATCGTAGCGCGGGCCATCGCAACTCTAGCCCGTCGCTCGCCCTCTCGCGGACGCACGAAGAACCAGAGGAGTGGGAACGTCGGCGGAGATGGTGGCAGGGACTGTCGGCATTGGTTAATGGTTATGCTTTTCCGATCTGCGTGTTCGTGCATCATGCAGTTTTCACGAAAAAAGCAAATGCGTTAAGGTAGGAATTATTGTGGTCCGCTTCGTAACAGCGTTGTACAAAGGGTCCGGGATGCCTCATTTCATTAGGAACTTTTCGTAGTTTGCGTACGCTGTGCAGTTTGGGTCCTGTGGTTGCGAGCACAATCTGTGCTCAACGTGACGGCAAAAGTTCCCACTAGTAGTGCAAAGCTCTTGCGAACGATCTACAAAAAGATAATTATTTCCAGAAAGTCGGGAAGAACTGCTCGGTGGAATGGTGTGTCAAGCGATGAACACCGAGATGGGGTTGGCATTTTATGCGCTGAGAGGCCGTGACAACCAGCATGACAGTTTGCTCCAAGCACTTTCTAAAGACAGACAGACTACGCGTACCTGCTTTACTTAATTGCAAAGGCAAAAAACTTAATGCCTGTCGCACTCTTAAGCGTGCCAGGTGTGCCGATCGTGAGGGGTGCGTAGAACGGGCAG